TAGCGTGGCAAGGATGGAAACAAAGTCAGAGAAGTTACTTCAGTTTCTCAAAGAGCAACTCACCAGGTCAATAGCTACCACCATTAAAAAAAAAAAAATACTAAATTATGCTGTGCTCCTGATGGCACATCGCAGAGCACTTTGCACATTCCAGCCACACAGACACGATGACATTCACAACTTAAATGCGGTCCATACTAGGGAGACAGAAAGGAGTCGAGATTTTTCCACTTTCAGCAAGGTCACAGCAGCCGAGTACTCTTGGTCTCTGCTTTATTAATTCCTGTCGCCCAACAAATAAACAGTCTTCTGAGTTGTTGTTTTCTGCGGAACCCCTCTGCTTCTCTGCCCCCTCCCCGGTCCCTATAGCAGCTTTACCTTTATCCTGCTGGATAAATGCTAAATGTACCAGGTCACACTGCACAAACTAAAAATTCTGCTGCGTTCCCTCGCTCTAAAGGTAACGCCAATAGCTGCATAAAGAGCGGGTCCCACCGGGACAAATTTCCTGGTCTCCACCATCCACACTGGAACTGTTGACTTGCAACAGAAGCTGCTGACGTGACCCGCCCCCCCCGCCGGCTTCGAAACCAAGGAGCACAGATCAGAAAAGGTCGATCTGGGAGGAAAAGATTTGGGCTTTTCTATCCAAGCCTTGCTACTATCTTTTTCAATATTATTCTTTCAACCTCTAGTTAAAGACATCTGAGATGTTTTACATTATTTTGAAGAAATTTTACGATGCTCCCGACAGAGCCTGTAAAGTTCACCGACTCCCAGTTTGAAGCCTTTTCCCTCCCTTCCTCCATTTCCTAAGAGCCACTGTATCCTCTCAGCCTTGGCACGGGTGGGAGAGACACCCGCAGCCACAACACACCTAACTTCTTAGCGAGCTAAAATTCCTGGAAAAGCACAGGTCACCCCAAGAGCAGAGGTCATCCCAAGCCATGTTAATTCGGAGCAGTGGCCACACAGCAGACGCGGGCTGGGGAACAACTGCAGAAGGGGCGCGGAGGAAAGCGCCGCACTCGCTCAGAGAGAAGGAAAACGGGATGCGAAATCTCTGTCACAGCAACTTTCTGGGATGCAATCTCTCCAAAGTCTTTTCCCTCTCGGGCCAAATGCAATATTTATTGATTACTTCAAATCGATACAATGAAAAAAATCCTATTTTTTAAAAATATATTGATCTTTCCATATTTCTCGATAATTCATAATGATTAGACCATTTTTACTTTTACAAGTGGAATTTGGAGGAGGAGAAGTTAATGCAAACACTGCATGGGGACCAATTTGCTCTAGTGCGGTATTCAGGTAGCTTCGTGTAGCAGGACCCCATCCTTTTGACAGGAACCTGCTTAAAAACACAGTACCTAGGCCCCTTCCCTTAGTGGTTTTTCAATTTATCCAGTCAATAAAGCAAACAATTCCCACCCCATTCTCCGCAATTAACAATTCTTCTCTATCCCAGACTCTCAGAGATCCTCAGCACAGACAGTTGCATTCTGCGTCTCTGACTCAGATTTCCTCCCATTCATGGAGTTCGGAGATTTCCAGTAACCTCTAAAATCAAGTCACATTTCCTCAGTCTGGGCATTAGATTCAGTGGCAACAACTTTGTTAATTCCTTGTTAATTCGCGTGATCTGGAATTTGCTCTTTCATTGACTTTAAATTCCAGCATCGTACCTTCACGTCTCTCTATCATCAAATATATCATTTTTTTTTCCTTTCTAACCACTTCCTTCTGTTTATAAAATAATTTTCATTTTTATCTGATCAATGACTCATGTGTCTTTCTTATACATCAGAGGAAACAGTGTAAGAGACATAGCATCTGGCAGGGTGCCCTTCCTTGCCAATGATTTTTATTTTCCCTTCATTATGGTTACTTGGTCAGCTTCTGTCTGTCATGTAGAATATTAATTAGAAAGAGCGATGGCAATTTCGTAGTCCTATCAACATTTCTGGTAGCAACTGCAACAAGCCAGACAAAAACTCTCCTGGACATGGAAGTTAAAGCTGAGAAGGAGAAACGCCGTATTTCCCTCTCCCATGAAACAGCCTTAGATTTCCATACAAGAGGTACGCAATGTATTCAGAATAATTACATATATATAGTGCGTGCACATATACTTGCACATAAATATTTATATATGCATACATGTGCTTGCATGTGAATATAGTCAGGTATTTCCTATGTCCGAGTGTACATTGCTGCCGTGTACACCCGCTCCCTTCCCGCCGTACTGCAGACGGACATCGTCAATATGGTGCAACTAATGCATTCACTCCATATGCCCTCACCTGACAGACAAACTGCAGGCACAAACCTTTTTTTCTGCTTTTTCTTTCTTTTTATTTTATTTTTTTTTAGGGGAGAGTTTCCCATTTGAACTCGTACAGCAGCTTCTTGCATGGAGCTGCTTCACCTGTGCAGGAATTATTACATTTGGTAGTGGCCTTTGGGGGAATTCAGCGGTCGCTAAAGGGAGGATTCCTACACATGCAACCAAATGCACGCACAAGAGCATCGGACAACTCGCGCAGAGGATGGAAACTAGGGACAGGGGCTTTATTCCCCCCACTGCAGCATCAGGCACGCAGGGAAACAACCCGATCCGCTGCTCAGAACTTCCTCCCGTTCCCGGGGGCTGCTCAGAGCCGCACACGCTGGTGAGGGACAGGGAACTTTCCCTACTTAAGGGAGACAAATCCCCAGCCTCAACAGTGGGATTAGGGGCAGTGAATCCCGGGGCTTAGCTCCGCATCGGACCCTCCTTGGCATCTGGACTGTTGCAGAAATTAAAGTCTCCTTAAACTCCAAGGTGAAGGGAGTCACCTCCCCTTCTCCTCTGCCTTGTTTGCTGCCGCTCTCACTAATTGCTAGGTGAAATACAGTTTCCAGGTGACTGTACGGATCACATATTGAGTGATCACATCCACTTTTCTTTCCATATTCTGTTCTTTCTCCCTATAGCTCAACAGTTACCTAAACAATAAGAGGCAGTTTGCAATGCTACCAAAAAAATCACTCGTAATTTGACAAAAAATGCTGCCAACATAATTTAAGAAGTGGCAAAAAAAAGGCAGAAAATTAACTATCAAAATCTTTTCACTTGTTAGCAGTCAAAAGACTAAGTCAGTACAATTAGAATAATAGGTTCAATACAACTGGACAAAAATATAGGCACAAACAATACCTATATTTACATGTATACAGTACATCTGTGTTACGGCGAGAGGAAAAACGGCTTAAGCGATAAATGAAGCGACCAACTTTCATCCTCAGCTATGGGATTGCAACCTCAAATCCAACTGTAACAAAACTAGAGCGTTAAATCAAAGCACTTTCTGACCCACTGCACATAGACCTTTAAATATACTATATTTTTAAGGTTTCTCCCACTTTTTTCCTTCTCCCCATAACCTTTCATAGACTTGGCTCTACTTTCTCACATCATTACTGTACCCTTTTAACAAAAAAAAAAAAAAAAGGGGGGGGGTGACAGTTGAGACATTTCAAATGATATTCCGATATTCCTGGTCTCTCTTCCCCTACATCCACAATTTCAGAGGGACGCCGGCGAGTTGCCAGCGCGAGTCCAGCGATGCCTTTGGCATCCCAGAGCGCTCCAGCCCCTGCAGAGCCCCGGGGGCTCCGGCCACTTCCCCCGGAGCCACCGTCACCTGCCTGAGCAGTGGCCAAAGTGCTGGGTAGGGGGCAAGGCACCTGTGACACTGCTGGGAGCTCCCCGAGACCAAGAAAAAGTAAAGCAGGCGAACAGCATCTAAAAGCAATAGGATTTCTTACTATTTTCACATTATCCGCGTTTCTTTCCTCAGTATCAAAAGTACAGCAAATGCAAGGAAAAAGTTAAGAGAAAATACGGTACGCGGTTATGCTCGGGCTTTTGGTTGTGGTGTTTTGTTCTTTTTCTTTTAATGAAGGTAAACACACTTTCTATTTTTGACTTTATATTAGAAGACTCCCAATGGCATCCCGAATGCATTTCCCTTAAGGAGCTGTTTGTTTATTTTTAATTCAAAATGGAGCAGCCACAAGTGAAGCACCAGTGGGGAAAAGAAAATCACATGGGTTAGATTATTAATTTCTATTAACAATACCAAGTCTCATTTTAATGGAACTGCTGCAAGCGGGGGATTAAAGGAGCAAGAAACGAGCGTAAGGACAGGCGGAGTATCGGGAAACAGGAGACAGAAAGACAGATAAAAGACAGATGTAATGAGAGAAGAGGGGTGAGCAGCATTGTGGGGAGGTTGTTTGTTTTTAATTGTTTTAACTCTAGCGGATACAACGCGTTCTTAAAAGAAAAGCGATGAAACGGGCAAAGTGACTTAACGCGCGCCTCGGAGGCGGCGCGCGGATTAACACGCAAACGCGCAGACGGGTCTCAGCTCGGGAGAGCTTTGCCGGGGCGCGCAAACCCCCTTGCAAAGGAACTGCTCCGGCCGGCTGGATGCGCAGCCGAGGAGCACATTTTACCTCCTAACTTGCCCCAAAAGAGCAAACCCAACTTAGCGGGGACGGGAACCCGTTCCCGGCACGGCCCCTTTGGAGGCGCCGCAGGTGCCGCCGCTCCCGCCTCGGGATGCCCGCCCGCTCCTCCGGCTCCTTCCCAAGCAGCAAGCTGCGGGACACCGCGTTTCCACGCGGCGTTTCCGGTGAAAACCCGACTTTTCGTGGAAAAAGCACCGCTTCGATAGATCTACTTGATTGTGCGCTTTTACATGCGCTTCTACTTAGAGCCACCCACTAATCCCTCCAGGAAAAATCGCAGGCTGAACGGAAAGTAGAAGTGGGCAGGAGGGAGAGCCGGTGCCCCGCGCGGGCGGCTCGTGCCCGGGCACCGCAGCAGCAGAGGGAGAAGTTGGGAGGAAAGCGGGAGACGGGGCCCCGAGCGCTCCCGCGGGCTGCGCTGCCCGCGCCCCGCCGCGGCCACGGCCGCCCCCGCGCGCGCCCCGGCGCGGGGCACTCACTGGTTGTGGTAGCCGAGCGGGTCGGAGATGCACAGCTCGGAAATGTCCATCAGTCCCGCTGGAGCATTCCCGCGTGGAGGAGAAAAATGATAAGGAAGCGGAGCAGGGGAGGGGAAGGGAAGGGGAGCGCGCGCCCAGGCGCCACCGAGACAAGTGCGCGCGGCGGGGCAGGACGCGCGGGCAGGAGGCAGCGCGGCCGCTCCCGCGCGCGGACACTGGCGCCGGCGGAGGGAGGG